AGGCATATTTATAGAAAGAAAAAGTTACCTGACATATCCCTTGCCTCCTAACCCACTCAAGTTGAGTTGTATTAAGAGGTACAGGTGTATTTGTTTTCTCAACATTTCTTCGGCATTCCTTGTCCTGTTAATAAGATAACCGTCGGATAAATCTGAGATAATCTAGGCATTAGTTATAATGTTCTTCTCTTACTTGTATCCACCACAACAATACAATCAAATAAGACAATTCTTTACGTACAAGAAATTGTTTACCGTTAGAAGAGTTATAATTTATCGTATTAATATTTTACCTCGGATTTGCTGCATCCATCAGCATCTGGCTTCACTGTAACTATAATGTTACCTCCACTATCAAGGTTGCCTTTTCCGTGGGTACAAATCATGTATTTCTCTATCACAACTTGCAAATCTGGAATATCCTTGTAACCTTCTTTGCATTTCTTTTTGTTTATAATCGTCACTGGTGCGTAATCAAGATTCTTTTGTACTAGACGTGTTTCGTCTCCAGGCTAAAATGTAGTATCTGAATTTTGACAATATCCTTCAAAGGGAATCATTTGTTATTAAAAATATAACTTGTATCTCGATTGTTCGATCGGATTTTGTAGTTTATGGATTCACTAGCTTTCGCCCGCGACTCCGTTTATGTGGAATTAAAAAATCAAAAGTCAATATTGCTTATGTGTTCTTCCGCACTATTCTCAACATACAAAATTTCATCGAAATTAGTTCAGCTGTTTAGGCTACAAACGCTAACAAACATCCATCCATCTAAACTTTCGCATTTACAATATAAGTATGATAATCTGTCAAGTGTTATCACCGTAGCAATTCTTAATTATCTAACTTACAAGTACAACCGGGCAAAACTGGCGGTGTTCCGACTGAAAAGCTACAACCGTTTGAACATCTTAAAACGGGACGAGGAACGAAAATCAATACAATGTAGCTTATAAATGACTGTACGAAATAGAGTCGATTAGTGATACACGGCTCTTTGCAATCGAATTAGTTATTTTTAGAGACAGAGTTGGTCTTGTTACAATAAACAAAGCAATTTTTCATAGAATGAAACACCGTGAATTTTCGCGACTGTACATATAAGTTTACTTAGATAAATGTCGGAAGAATTTATCCTTATTTGATTTCTACATATCGTTTTATATTATCCCTAGATTAATAACTAAAAAAATTGACATTAAGTAAAAATGGTCTACGTACTTGTTTCCATACTGATTTATGTCCCCAGCCCAAGACAATCGCATCGACGCCAGGAGCTTGATATTTAGGATCATAATTAATGCCTATAGCCTGCGGTCTGAATGAACAATCACCCTTAGAAAAATCAAATTCACCATCGACTTTCGCTACGCCTATATCTATAGCTGACCACTTCTCAACATTAGCGTAATCGAACTCGTAAGCTGCAATATAAAGTAAAATCAAAATCCATTTAGAGCGGGCGTATTTGACTAATCTATCGCACAATTGTGCGTTTGTCGATTATTTCGCTGCCAATTCAATTGTTTAGTTGCACAACTAAAAATCGAGGAGTGTGCGCACCTCCGTTTAAGCTCAAAGGAATCAAAGAGAGACTAAATAATAATGTAACTAGTAGAACTTGCTTTACCAACGGGCTGGTTCGCCCGATACTACGAC